TGCAAGACGGCAGTAGTAACTGCAATCATCCTCGAATTCCAGCCCCATGGCGTTGCCGCAGCCTAGGAAGCAGCGGAGAGCCACCTGCCCAGCTTTGACGTAGGGGGGTCAAAGAAAGGTGATGGTGGTGGCGCAACGGAGGGGCGCAGAGCATCCAGGGGGCTGGTGGTGAGCGTGTGTTCATGGGGAAAGCTTGCGACGACCGGAGTAGGGCTGGGGGCGGGGTGGTGGAGGACCGGAGTTGGGAGGGGGAGAGGAGAGGAGAGGAGAGCCAACTTCAGTCGGTATATACCCGTGTACCCCCAGCTTGTAACTTGTACCGTGAGAAAATCAATACAAAGTCAAGAGGCTCGACAGGAGCCTGCGGCCATCAAACAATCGATTCTTGGGTGTTGTGCTATCTACGTGAGCTAGCTAGATCAAGTTGAGATTCCGGCTAGAGGTGCTCGTACCGAACTAGTACTACATACACGTCCAGATAGATCGATTGCTAAGACATTAGCTTTGTACTACGGTGCATCTCGGCTTAAAGTAATTCATCAAGTTCGTCGGCCGCTTCGTTCGTCATCAGTCGTATCGCCGATTGTCGGAAGTACTTAATGCCGGGACTAGGCAAACATTAGCCATGCTATAAAAGCATTGGTGGACGAATAAAATTTTTTTTTGCGGGGTAGTGGACGAATAGTTGTATACAGATTCACACTTTATTTTAACTGGAAGCGCCTCGAAAACCACCACAAAAGAAAAACGAACTTAGACTGAGCGATCGGTATAGCAAGCAAGTGGGCGGGATCCACTTTTCAGCCGATCAAGAGTAGATATGCATGGATGCAAAAAGTGTTCAAAATATGAACTCCTGCGGCTTCTGACATTTGAGCAAGTGGGAAGCATGGCTCCCCTAACGTGCATGGATGCTGGGGCCACGTGAGGCAGATCGGATAACGCGCAGAGCAGTGGCACCAACGAGTTTACTGTTTATTCTGACATCGCGTTACGTTCTTCCATTGACTCTGTCCTTTTTTTTTCCGCGAGGTTCCTCTGACATTGTCCTGGTAACGGTAACATGCATGCATCGCAGCATCTAATTAACTAATTAGCTTGGTTGTACTCCCTCCGTTCCTAAATATAAGTCTTTTTAGAGGTTTCAACAAATGACTACATACAAAGCAAAATGAGTGAATCTATACTTTAAAATATGTCTACATACATTCGTATATTGTAGTCCATTTAAAATGTCTAAAAAGACTTATATTTAGGAAGGGAGGGAGTAGTAGGTTTTGTCATGTAGCCACCGACGGTAATTAACAGCTACAATGTGTGTTGACCAAGCAGCTAGCAACTGAGTCGTCTAATCTAATGAGTCAAGTCGATGATCTGCCCCCCGATCCAGCTCCTCTTATTAAGGTCCATCCATGCATCATCTTTCTCCCGCTCCCATCAGTCATCACATCCTCTTCGGTCCAGAGCACCAGCACCTCGAGCGAGCTACCACTCTGGGTCCAGGTTAGTACTGACACTTTGCGGTATCAGTTTGTTGCATATTACTGTATGTACTAGTAGCTTAATTCGTCTCTGTGCCTTCGTTGCCATTTTTATGCCTTTCACCATTAAATTTATTGTTCTCTCATTTCTCCTATTGCTGTATATCTATCTATGATATTTTGTCGAGCTGGGATATATATAGGCGTCTAGATCCTGACTAGCATTGTGGGCTCTAATTTGTAATAAGATGGCTATCAGTTCTCTCATGTTGGGATGTTAATTCTTTTGATATCATATATATGCACAATCAATACATCTGCCTGTGGCGCTTCTTCCAAAAGGTTGAGACAGTTCCTTTCAAAAAGCAAAAAAAAAAAAAGTCAAGACAGAACAGGAGAAGGGGTACGTTGAACATGACGAGAGTATGTAGAATGCTACTACTTTCTTTAGAAGTGATTATCATATACCTTAATTTGCTCATGACCAAAAGTTTTTGTGCCAGCAGATGCAAAATATTCTCTATTTACCTCATGAACTGTTGAAAGAAATTACAAATACTTTTTCGGATCAGCGAAGAATTGGTGAAGGCACATATGGAGTAGTTTATAAGGTAAGATTGACAACACGTATGCTTCATTTTTCTCAACATGACATCTGTGAATAAGTATGGTCAATACATCGTGGGATGTGTCAAGCAATATACGTGCACCGGTGCACCTATTTTGTCTCCCGCAGTTGCAAGAGGTTGGCAACCTTATACCACACGCACCTCGTTTATTGTGAACTAATGCAACAAGAAAAAAAGAAAAAGGAAAGCTAGATAATTACAATTTTTTTCTTGCTCAAGGATACTACGCTTTAATTTGTGACACAAATACGGTTGTAATGAGAACTGATAGTAGATCTTGAACAGGGCGCTTTGAATGAAGAGGAGTTTGCTGTAAAGAAGCTTTATAACTTAACTCAAAATGATGATAAGCAATTTGATCTTGGACTTAAGGAGCTTGATAAGGTTCAGCATAAGAACATTGTAAGGCTAGTCGGCTACTGCAATGAAATACGGCATCGTTATGCAGAGTACAAGGGAGAATCTGTTTTTGCTGAAGTAATAGAAAGAGCACTCGTCCTGGAATATTGTGACAATGGAAGCCTCCAGCTACATCTTTCCGGTACCATAATTCTCCACTTAAACTATACTAATTACCATGTCAAGATACCTATTTATCTTTCTATTTCAATGAGTAGATTTCAGCAGTGCTACAGAAAGTTGGCATTTGGTAGAAATTTTCTTTGGATCGTTAAATCCAGTACATAAGCTTGATAATTTTGAGGAAATATGGCACAAAAACAGGCCACCTCATTTTTTTTTCTCTCGAATACGCACGAGAGTGCGTACTATATTATAAAGAAGGAACGGGGTGAAGAGCCCCTCCACGATAGTGTTACAAGAGTTTAATTACATGTACACCATCACCACCTCCACTCGTCTACCCCTATGCTAACCTGCCACACTAGTCCACCCTTCCACATTGCTAAAGAATCTACCGAGGTCTCCTTTAAGTAATCCCGCTTGCTTCCAAGTGTGCCCCTCCTCCATGATTCGGAGGATGACATAGTTCTTTGATGGTGTGGTTCCCTCGAAAAATACAATTGTGTTGCGACGTTTCCATATCTCCCACATGACTAGAATGAACAAAGCATTGTTCGTCCTCCTGTGTTTCCCACTGGCTCCCTTGCTTGTGCACCATTCCGAGAGGCTGTCCTCTACTGTTGGCATCCAATATGGCTTTCCCAATGAATGGAGTATCGCGGTCCAAACCTCACGCGCAAACATGCAATGGAGTAGGAGGTGGCTTATGCTTGCTCTAATAGGCGTGGAGGCTCCCAAGCCTTGGAAGGGCTTTGCCCGCACCGTAGTGGTTGCGGCGCTTGGCGTCGGCACGCATCCTGAACACTGGGCGGTCGGTGCAGTGGAAGAGCGCCTAGTGCGTGTTCAATCATCACATGAGCATGCCATGGCCCACTGCCTCGTCCTGGCGCCGCAGAAATGTCCACATGGAGAAGTCGAGCCTCGATTGGAAACTCTGTCGCGTCCATCGCCTCCTCGCCGCCCCATGATATCATGGACGCCATGCAAGAGTGTGGCCGAGGCGGCATCGGTGGAATGGCATCCATTGCAGTGGCGGGGCTAGCCCCTAGTCGGCCACAATGTCATATGCAGCCGTAGGTGCGGGGTTCCGCGGTCATGGAGATGCGCATAAGGTGCTTCATGAAATGC